TTTCTTTGCGGCGAGCAGCGTGGCAGCGATGGTGCCATCTGCTCTTGGCTATGTTGTTATCATGGGGAGGAATGGCGGATGGCCCTCGTTTTGTTGTGGCTTCTACGATAGCGATCCCGTGGTCTTGATCTAGAGGCTTGCTGCAGGTAGTTTCCCCATTGTGGGTTGGGTCGGCAACCTTCATCCCACGGGTGGTACGTGTGTGGGTTTGGCGCCGGCATCATCGGTACCTATGGGTGTCGCTTCCCTCTAGGGGGGAGGCATTGTTGTGGGTTCCCGCACAATTCTAGGGGTCCGAGGTGAAAACCCTAGTCCATCTCTTGAAGTCGATAGTGGTGCCAGGCGTTATCACCTTCTTGAGGGCGTCGTCACACACCCCCGGCCCCCCGGTTGCAGATGGCCTATGGCGTAGGGTTTGCCTTTACCATGGCGTAGTACGCCCTTGTCTCTGGCGAGGGTTGGATTTTGGTGTTATCCTATCTTATTACGATAGAACACATGATTACTATGCCTATGTGACACTCGGACCAGAAATCAATGATGCTTGGACCACGCCCATCGATGTTGGGACGACATACAAGGATGCTGAAACTAGCGGCAAAAGGCTACAGCTGGACGATTACAATGCTTCAAGCGGTGAGAGCACGTGCTGGAAGCTGCGACACCCGTCGACGTCGATGCTAGAACCACCCGTACCTAACGCTAGGACCAACAGCGACCATTGTTGTGACAACGAGAGCATGGGCTACGTTGTCACAGCAAATTGCTACAACTAGCTGCACAAAAAGCAACGACTGGGTGGCAAGGATGCTGCAGTCGGCTCCGACGCCAACAACGGCGGGTGAAAGAAGGTGCAAGCTGCTAGCGGAGGAAAGCGTGGGGTCACGATGTTGCTGCGAGCCTGCGGTGGCGGGGGTCTTCGACCGCACGCGAAAGGAGGCGGGGGCGACAAATGCACGCAACCAAGGGAATAAGAGAGCGAGGTGAGAGATGGGAGATCGTGAGGCTGTGAGTTGTATTTGCGTTGTTGAATAAATGGCTCGCTAGGCCACCAATCTGACGCTTGAGTCGATCGACCAGCGCCGAGCATCGCCCATAGAAAATTTTGCTGAGCCGAGTAACCAGATATAAGAGAAGAGTTGGGTGATGAGCGGTCAATCTGTTCAGTATCAAATATATAGTTGAGTGCGGTTAAGTAACCAGATAAGAGAAGAATTGAGTACGATTGTAATCTGACAAACAATAATAAGGATTACGTATACCTAAAATATTTTTTTATGATACACTATAAGAGGAAATTGTACATGGTAACTACTGTTTCCGACATCTAATCTTGGTTTGCAACATTGTGTCACATCCTGTTTGCATATCAAAGCACCGACTCCGGAGGGAAGAGCCACGTTGTTCCAGAATACTTACAAAACTTTGACGGGCTAGAAGTACCGTACTTCATGTTGAACACATTGCCCGTGTCCATAAAATAAATTGCATCTTCCTCCACCTCTCCACAAGGTGCTGGGACAGACTTAGAGAACTCCATGCTAAGGAAGAGTGCTTGACCACCGCCTAGCCCTCCTGTAAGTGGCACCCAAGCATGTGTGCTAAAGTCTGTTTCAAAAACATCCACCTGGAGAGTGATCCATAAAGCGTCTGAATGGAGGTGATCTGGATGGAGGCGCCGACGATGTATTACCATGAGTAGCTTCCCATGTGACTCGAGGAGGTGTCGGCTGATTATGGTGATAGGTTCAACATCATGATCAAATTCAACAGAGCAATTGATATAGGTCAAGTCATTATTTTCTTCTTCTTCATCATCCTCTTCACTGAGACTGCTGACCTCCTCTTCTTCTTCCTCCTCTTCATTCTGGTCATCGTCATGATCGTTGTCCTCCTTGTCAGAAGTGGTTTGTGATTCATAATTATCATAGTAGAACGATTTCTTGATAACACGTGTTTCCATTGTAACCATGGGCCTTCCGTCCCCATCCAATGCTAGATCAAGGGGGATGAGGTCCTCAGTCTCGGTGATGGCATATAGTTTATCACCAAGGAAGGCCATGTCAATGAGATAGATATATGGAGTTGTCGGTGGCTCCGGCGACCACGTGCCCTTCCCTCGCTGGAACACAATGAGCGGATGCTTCCTGTTGTTGGTGATGACCGCGACAAAGTCATCAACTGTGGAGCGCATGAGGAACTTGCGGATTGCAGACCTGTCGTCGATGATGACGGCGTCGAGCTCAGGCAGCGGCAGAGACCTGTTTGTGGAAGGGTTATGCAAGACATAGTTGTGCACGACATAGTGTATCTTGCCATCCTCGGTGGTGTACTCATGGCCCAAGCCGAGGGCGAGCCAGTCGTCGGTGGAGCCGACAGACCTGGCGTTGTCGGGTAGGCGGTGGGTGTGGCCGCTGTAGGGGCCGATGATGACGTTGCTACAGAGGGGAGTCCACGGCAGCGATTGCGCTTGGGGGTCGGTCGAGTGCCATGGGCGACAGATGGTGCCGTCGGCACGGCAGCGAGCGCAGTTGGCCTGGTCAGGAAGGTTGGCCACCACTACTTGGTCGAGGATGTTCCGCGAGAGGCCGCACAATTACTTAGATATGTACATATCACTGGAAAAGCAAAAAGGTCAACAGGCCAGGTTTTACTACAATTACTTGAAATGCGTTTGGATAATATCCTTTTTCGATTGGGTATGGCTTCAACCATTCGTGGGGCCCGCCATCCATAAGAACCAAGTTTTGATCAATGATATATTCAAAAAGTAAGAGCTACTCTATTAATCTACATACCTTGTCTCCAGCCACCATGTTTTCTCCGAAGGGTGAAGGCGGATTCTCTGAACTTAAAATAAGGGCGAAGGATACATACAATATGCCTGGTCTAAAGTGAAGTAGTATAGAACATTGCAGAATAGAAGACGCCAGGCCCATGTAGAAGAAGCGTATTTTCTTCTCTTCAAGATTCGATCGTATTGGGTGTGCAGCCTTGATCGTATATATATAGCACCATCAAAGGAGTTGGGCTGTCTGAATCCTACACGTATTCGCGTTGGTTAGTTCGTCGGTTTCCAAACGAGTTTGGCTTGCTTCTCAAGTAGGAGTAATGCAAATTTATTTTAGTCAAAGATAGAAGTTAGTATCCGTGTAGAATTAGTACTGTACTAGTTAAGGTAGTATATGTACGTACTACTTGGTCAATGCATTGGTGAACAAAAAATGTTGGGGAACGTCAACACGCGGTTTGTACTGGGTCGGCTGTTCATGTCTACACCGTAAGAACTCTCAAGGAGTACATGACATCAACACGCGGTTTTCCCGGCTTTACCGACCTCTCACAACCGCCACCGCTGCAGAGCAAATACCTCAGCGTGTAACAACCGGCAATGCTACACGTACAAACAGTTTACAGGCTTTTATAGGATGGGTTAGTCTTTATTGACCAACAGATGAGTGGGACGGTCCACCCCCCTGAAAATCAGGGAGGAGAGGTTTGTGATTGGTTGTTAGATGAAAAGAGCCTGTAAAAGCCTGTAAATCTTTGTATGTCTACCATTTTTGTGTAACAACGCTGGGGAACGTGGGTTGCCGAGATCACGTACGGACCGCTACACATAAGAGCCGATATATCGCATTTTTCCACCCGGCAGCACAGGTGGCACGGGAAATATTATGTTGGCCTGCCTCCATGACACCGACACCTGGCTCAACTTCCCCGCCGTCCTACCATAGTTGGCGCCTGTTCACTCCCGGGTGGCCACCGCATGGGAGATGCCAGAAGATTGGGAGGCTCGCGAGCGCCTCTAAGCGAAGCAAGCCGGCAAGGCGTACATGGTGGAGCTCCGCCTCCTGTACCCGAAGAGCCGGCTATACAAGAAGAACGCGACCGAGGCGATGAGGGCCATGGCGGTATGATTGGAGGGCTTACAGAATCATACTGGGAGAGGTTGGTGAACGAGAGTGATAGTGATAGTAAGTTTCGATGCAATTTAGTTCATATTTTGTTTAAGTATCTATAGTATTTATGTAAAATATTCCGAACCAAGTTTGATGTAGTAGTTTGAACCAAATTTGCACCGAATGTTTTTTTTTTGCAGGAAACTATTCATCTATTCATCTTCAATCATGGCAGTACAACAAACACCAGAAATAATATAAATTACATCCAGATTCATAGACCACCTAGCGACGACTACAAACACTAAAGCGAGCAGAAGGCGCGCCACCGTCATCGCCCCTTCCCCGTCAGAGCCTGGCACCACTTGTTGTAGTAGAGAGTCGGGAAGTCACCGTGCCAAGGTCCCATAGGACCAATGCCTTTTTAGATCAGAAGGATCCAACCTGAAGACACATGAATAAAGACGAACAAAGACCGGATCCGAGCGGATCCACCAAAGACAACCACCGACAAAATCTAACGAGATCTGCCGGAGGCACACCTCCACACGCCCTCCAATGATGCTACACACCATTGGGACGGGGGTTAGGCGGGGAGAACCATATTCCATCTTCAAGAAGCCGCCGCCGTCTCGTCTTCTTGAGTAGGACACAAACCCTAACAAAATTTAAAGAAGCACCTGAAAACGGAGCCCTTCCGCCGGCAAGCGCCGGGATCCACCGCGCATCCATGGCCCTAAGGCCATAGGAGACGTGGGAGATACGCAGCGCCGCCGACAGGAGGCAGAAACCCTAGCCGCCTTTTCTTCGAGGGACAAAGGGAGTAAAGGCGTTGTTGTTGCACCCAATGTTTGATGTAGTAGTTTGATGTAGTAGTGTGTACCAAGTTTGATGTAGTAGTTTGAACCAAGTTTGATGTAGTCCCTTGTTTTCAGAAACCACAAATGTAAACTAGAGCCAAGCATCATCCGCAATTTCAGACTGTTGGGCTGGTTATGTAATACAATCATCCTATTAGTTATGTCTCACTGTTAGATGAGCTAACGGATCATAGACACTCATTTCAGACCAAAAGGGACAAATCCAGTTTTCCCTTACTCAGAACTCAAAGGGTCTAAAAGGAACAAATCCATCCTGCAAAATGGCACGCACATAAGTTACTGGTTTTTTTTGGTCTCGGGACAGAACCTTACTTTGACAATAAATACAGTTATTAGCATACCTCATTGTCCAACTTCAACTGTTTTGCTATCTCCACCTTCTTCTGAGCATACTGAGCCATGTTCAGTGGTTTATGCTGAAACAAGGGATCCGGTAATATAACAACAACAATCATGACGACATATAAATTCATAGAGGATTTTTCACAAAATAAAACGTAAAATCATAGAGGATTCATCGAGACAATACCATGCTGAAAGATAACTCCCTAAACACACCCCTAGCTTTCTTCTCTTCGTCCTACACAAAGGTCGTATCAAAGTCAACAACCTATTGCAGCTAGGTATGTATCACCATGTCAAACATACATGTAGAGTATCCTACTTACAGTCAGTTCAATGCCACCCTCTAGGACAACAGCGTAAATCTACAAAGGTAAACATATGAAATTAGACATTTGGCAATATGTTGCACATTCCATTTTCACGACATAAATCACAGTTAGTGGCTATACAAATTTGCACAACAGCCCCAAATTAAGACACCAGCTTACCATTTCTTGCATCGTTACAAAGATATGACCCCCATTGAGTTCAGCATGTAGTACTGCCTTGTGTATAGGGAACACGCCAGACTCATAAACTTCCTTCACAGCCTCTTTGTAAGTTCTCTGAAATATTTGTGAAACCATAAGAAACACGCATAATCACAAAGCATGTCACCCGTGCTCTATTGCACAATTTTTTTGATGTATTAGGATGCTAACATTTTCTTTAGCGACAAGCCTCCAGATCTCAAAATACTGGAGATCTATGTCCTTGAGGGACGCATCCATTTCCAGCTCCGTAGTGTACTCCTGAATCAAATGGACCAGATTGTGAGTACAACCAGCAATTAACACCACCTCAATTAGCAGAAGACAGGATATCCTACGTCATAAGCATAACCAGCTAATTTTTCAGTCATATGGGGAAAGCCAGTTGCAATCCTCAATGCTTGCCTCCATGCTCTAGTATCCCATTCTATCCACTGAAGTGAAAAGAAGTTAATCATCATGTGTATGTATATGACTAATTTCGTAATCTTCTGTGGGGCATACTTACATCCTTAGTCTTGCGATCCAGATGCAAAAAATCTGCAATCCACTGTTGCAAGATAGAAGTCTATCACTTTAAAAACAATCCAGCCACTCGTAATGTTTTTAATTCCAACAGTTTGATCACATAATGCATACCTTGATTTTCTTTGAAATTTCTGCATAGTACTTGACATAAACATCATCAATTTTATATGTATGATAACGCGAGCGGTACTCATCGTGATAGCGGTACAGGTTTCCACTTCTACCAGGCAGCTACAAAAAGAAAGGGACAAGAATTAGTTGACACATCTGAAAGGGCACATGAGTGCACATACATAATGGCGACAGCGTAGTGAGTTGACATACTTTGGTCTACAGAAGTAACTGACTAAAGATCCACATGTTTTCCTATTAGTAAAGTCTAGCTTGCTAGAAATAGTACCGTATAATTAAATGACCTTTAACAAGTCAATCAACTGAGATACGGACATGATATAATTCAGAAGCAATTCAAAAGTCAACTAATTTCAGCAGACAAGTTACCGGCACGTGATTGTTAAAAAATACAAGGTAACATACCTTTGAGCCCTGTAAAGCTCCCTGCGGTCACAGAAATCATGATATGTTTGTCTTCTAATGCTGACCTCAGCTTTAAAACTAAGGCAATCAAGGAGGTTCAAGAACCAAGTGGGATACACTTCATAGCACTTCACCCCGAGTTAAGGTTACATACGAAATGGCTAAGAACCAACCAATTTTAAGGGATCACTCATTAAAATCAGCAGCTAGACTAGTCCAGAGTTTGAATAAACATAAAAAACTGGGAAATTTTTCAAATCCAACACCGCAAGTACTATCATCCATCAGTAGCCACAAAGCAATGGCAATAGATACAAAATCAATGCTCAGAAACCACAGCAAAGAATAATAGAATATGGTGATGCAAGTCATACAATCATCATCTGTTAAGAATAAGCTGTTCAAAAACAGTTTTAACTCATACCATAAACCCATGGCTCAATTTTCTATACTAACGTTGCAGCTGTGGTTGGAGTCAATGAAGCAAAATGAACTACCTCATTGATTGCCGGTTTTCACGGTGTGTTTTGAAATGGTTTCTGAACACCCATGGTTATGATAACCAAACTAGTCAATTGGATGACTAAATGTAGATATTGACAGTACACTTACAAAATTACGAGGGACAATCCGTTGGTAGTCATTCAATTCAATGTTGTAGGTGTCTTCAGGATGGATGTACCACTCAAAACTTTCATCATCCTCTAACCCCTCAAAGTACGACTCGTTAAGAAGCTCATCATCGGTGTATTCTTCTGGTTCCTTGAGCTCACGTGCGCACTCCAGATTCACAACCTACACATAGATGATAAAACACGGGATAAAATCACCACGCATAACAAACCAGAAGACTGAATCAGCTACTATGGCACACAGGTATAAACTTTAAGACATGCACGGTGATTGATTGATACAGCATGTAGATACCTTGTAATGAGCGACGCGATAGCGTGCAAGGCGCGCTTCTATCTTGCGGTGTTCCTCACGTGTCAAATAAAGTGGCAGGTCAGTAGGATAATCGTCCTCCTTCTGAATATTGGCAAGCAAAAATTGACAATCCTTGGCCTGGTCTTCCTTGCTGAGAAGGAAGTACGGCCCGAAACACTGCTCGCTTTCTTCTTTTGCCGGCTCTGTTTTCAGCAGCAGATCATAATCTTGGCCCGCTTGGATGGTGCCCTCCATGTCTGTCGCATGAGAAATCGGATCTTGGCCCCCTTGGATGGTGCCCTCCATGTCTGTCGCATGAGAAATCGGATCTTGGCACCCTTGGATGGTGTCCTCCATGTCTCCATGGTCATCGGCAGTGGCAGTAGCATCGGAAGATGATGGGCGCAGGTTCTTGCGGCGCCTCTTCTCCCCTGTCCACGCCATGTTTCCCCCATCTCCATCATCGGCCAGTTGGATGATGGGTACGGGCTTCTCGTGTAGCATCTCGATCGAACGATACGACCGCGGGACGGGGGACGTGGTCGAGCTGGGCGGTGGCGTCGATCTGCTGGCGTAGGGGGCGACTGTAGGCGGCAAAGGACGGGGTCGGGGGCGGACCAGCGGAGGCGGGGGCGGGGCGTCGGTATGGCGTGGCGACGGCGACGGCGGTGGCGTGAAACCCTAGCCACTTGTCGAGACGGTAGGTTGCAGAGGACGTGGTCGAGGTTCGGGGAGGCGGCGGCGACGGCGACGGCGTAAAAGCCACTTGTGGAGAGATGGAGGGGGAGAAGCAGATCGTGCGGGCTCTTGTTTGTTTGGGGCAATCGATGGCTGGCCAACGTAAATTTGCTGCACATCGAAGGGTTTTTCTAAATGGATGTTTTTTTAAACGAGGCAAAAGACTTGCCATTTTCAATGATTAAGAAGAAGAGAATTACCCGGTTAATTGACGGAAACCGGGTTAGAACTGATACAACCCAACCCACATGACATGGGCACCGCCGGCCAACCTGGCCACCGACATGGAACACAGAGCTGCAAAGAAGAAACACATACACTGAGGTGTTGCAAGCGTCATCGTCATCACCGCTTGCCTCGAACGAGCCACTCCGACTTCACCATAAAGCTCCATCAACGAAGCCCACCCACAAACAGTCGCGGAAGCCACGACGACACATGCCAAAAGATGGCCACAGTCGCCAACAAATGACAGCTCTGACTTTTGACGGCGAGCATCGCAAGGGAAATATGCAAGACTTGCGCCGATCATGCCCTTGGCAAACAACTACTGAGTGCATGTCATCGTCACCACCTGGACCCGCACCACCGTAACTCCGACTTCAAAGCAACAAAACAACACACAAAAGAGCACCTCGGACATGCAGGAAAGATCCGACCACCAAAGTCCACGCCACGCCCCGAGCTCCTTTCGACGCCATCATCATTGTCAAAATAGAAACCAGCGCCCCGTCTCAGCAAACCATGCGCGAAGATGCCGCCATCCACCGGTCACCCAATCATAGCCGGCTCCGAGACGATGCGTTAGTATCCGTGTACAATTTGTAGTTAAAACGTCGGTAGACCACATAACCATGCTTGATACGATTCCTTGAGTGCTTGATACGATTCCTTGAGTGCCAGATAGACCACATAATAGTGGTGACTTTGGCACGATCATCGTCGGTAAAATGTGGGTCACATAAGATGTCGCGAGCCCACGAGTCCAGATGTAGACGAGGTAGCCGGAGTCCGAACCATGCACACGCCTCCTCCCAGAAGCGTTTAGCATGCGAGCAATGAATCAATGCATGTTCCAGATCCTCATCCATAACTAGACATACTTTGCATCTGCGAATTTCTGCAATGTGTCGATAGTTGAGAGTAGCTTCATCTGGAAGAATCCCACGAAGAACTCTCCACCAAAACACTCTCACTTTTGGGATAACATTCAATTTCCACATGCCTTTCCACATCTGTTGATCATCATTTGAGGTACCGGTAGCCGTCCCCTCCTCTAGAGCCAAACGCTCGTTTTGATTCATAAGAGCACGGTACGCCGACTTCATAGTGTAGTTGCCTGTTTTTTCGAATGCCCAAGCAAGATAATCATCACCTCCCCCTTGCCGAATAGGGATATTAAGAATAGCTTCAGCATCCGGGGCAATGAAAGTCTCCCTAACCACCTCATATTTCCAAGACCAGTTTGATTTGTCAATGAGATCTGCCACCCTCCGAATAGCAGTGTTCTGAGGCCTGAATATAGGTGACATGGATATAGTGTCTGGAATCCATTTATCGGTCCAGACGTCAAGAGTGCTACCATCTCCAACACAAGAGATCAAGCCACATCGAAGGGCTTCTCTTCCTGCTATAATTAGGGGTGGGCAGAAAAACCGACTACCGAACACCGAACCCGAATAAACCGAGACCGAACCGAAAAAAACCAAGGACCGAAACTTTGGTTGTTACATCGGTCAGCAAATGTGCAAAACCGAACTAAGTTCGGTGAGTTCGGTGCTCTGCCTCGGTTGACCGATTAACCGTATTATCCTTATCCTCTATATGCAGCCCAACAAATCTTGGCCCAACAATCCATTTACTCTTCACGTGAATTCTTTTCTTATCCGTGCACACAAGTTGTCCCATCTGGGCCAGCTCAACCCCAACCTGTCCGACGACCCTGTCTCCTACGACTCCCCCAATCGAGGCGCCGCCGCCCAAGGGAGTACATGCTAGAGTCCCCCCACCTCGCAGCATCGCAGGCCGCCGCCGCGCCGCCGCCTATGGCTTCCAATGGCTTGTACGCTGTCGGGGCGCCGCCGCCCAATGATTTGATCTATATTTGGATGATTTTTTTTTCAGTTCCTCTGCCTCGATCTGATGTTGTGGATTTACATCGGGTGATTCGGTCAAACCGAAGACCAAAACCGAATTTGCGGTGCACCGAATCCTCGGTTATCAGAATTTCTGTTAACCGATCGGTCTTCATTTTCTGGGAACCGAATTTCTGTAAACACCGAAGCACCGAACCGAATTCTTCGGTGCAACCGAATGCCCACCCCTAGCTATAATAGCCTTCCAAGTGGCCGAAGCCGACTTAGGTACAGCAGCATGCATAAAATCAATGTCAGGAAAATAACGCCCCTTCAAAACTCTTGCACTGAGGGAATTAGGATTTGTCAGAAATCGCCAACCATGCTTCCCCAACAAGGCAAGATTAAACAGATGTGGGTCTCTGAAACCCATCCCACCTTTACACTTGGGCGTTGAAAGTTCCTTCCAAGACACCCAATGCATTGATCGTTTGTCAAGCGAACTACTCCAGAAAAAAATTGCCATTGGAGACGTCAAACTCTTGCAAACTTTCTTTGTTAACAAAAAAGTACTCATTGGGTAGGTGGGGATAGCTTGAACCACTAATTTCAACAAAGTCTCGCGGCCTGCACAAGCAAGTAACTTCTCCGACCATCCCTGCATTCTCGCCCGGGCTCTCTCACTGACATGCTCGAATGTCCCGCTCGTGATCCGACCCACATCGGTAGGGAGACCCAGATATTTCTCATTAAAAGCCTCAACCTGGATGTTCAAGGTTGTCTTCAAAAGTTACCTCAAATCTATGGGTGTATTTGTACTGAAATAAATAGAACTTTTTTCCCTATTGATGCACTAACCCGAGGCCTCTCCATAAATCCTCAAGATGTCATTTAGCCGGAGTGCGCTCGGATTACTTGCATGATGAAGATGAGGCTATCATCTGCAAAAAGCAAATGGGTTACCCACGGTGATCTATAGCTCACCCGCAGTCCTCTGTCAATGGTTCCACCATTGTAATATTTCAACAATGAGGATAAGCCTTCGGCACACAGCAAGAATAGATATGGAGGCACTGGATCTCCTTGCCAAAACCCTCTGGTAGGTGTAAAATATGGAAGTAGCTCCCCATTGATTCTTACTGAAAACCGAACAGAGGAAACACACTTCATTATCAACCTGACAAAGCCCATATTGAAACCCAAACGTAATAATATAGCTTCGAGATAATGCCACTCGACACGGTCGTAGGCTTTCATCATATCAAGCTTAACCGCGCAAGAAAAATTCTTTCCCTTCTTCTTCCTTTTCATCGTGTGGATACTTTCATATGCAACAAGTACATTGTCTGTGATGAGTCGTCCGGGAACGAACGCACTTTGCTCCTCGCTAATGATTATATCCATCATGTTGCGCAACCGGTTTGTTATGGCCCTCGCTGCAATCTTATAGAGCACCGGGCACAAGGCTATGGGACGATATTGTGTGATTGATTGGGGGTGGCGTACCTTAGGTATGAGTGTGATGGAAGTGTCATTCAGACCCGTAGGTAATTCCCCTCCATTAAGAAATTCTAAAACAGCCAAGGTCACCTCATTACCTAGTAAATCCCAGTGGCGCTGGTAAAACCCTGCTGTAAAACCATCCACCCCAGGAGCTTTTGAAGGTGCCATCTGAAACAATGCCACCTTGATCTCCTCACCCGTGTATGGTTTGTTCAACTCATCCGTTCATGGCAGGGGTGACTCTTTCTGGTACATGTGATAATAGGTAGCTAGAGTCGCCAAAACCCTGGGAACAATACAGATTTCGATAAAAGGTTTGCACCTCTTCCTTGTCCTCACTTTCATTGGCACAAGTGGAGCCATCAGCACGTCTCAATCCTGATATTTTGTTCATTCGTTTGTGTTGACCTGCTTGAGCTTGAAAGTAGGAAGTATTTCAGTCTCCGTCTTGAAGCCATGGGACTCGAGAACGTTGCCGAAGCCAGACTTCTTCCTGGTGTAATGCCTCCTTCAACTTCTTAACAACAGATTTCTCCTCCTCCGTAGGACCGGTGCCAATAGACCGGCAACGAAGGCGATCCAGCCTCTTCTGAAGCTGTCTGACAGAGCGCGTCAGACTCCGAACTCCCTGGCTCCCCAGGGTTCTAACGTAGCCTGCAGGGTGCTCAGCGCGGATGCTACACCCCGGAGCCCCGGCGTATGTTGTATGCCCCGCCAAGTATCACAAACCAGGCGGTCATAATCTGCATGAGTCTGCCAAACGTTTTCGTATCTAAACTGCTTCTTTTTCAATGGAGACGCTGGCAAGCTCTCTTTAATCTCTGCGAAAACAAAGCAATGATCAGACTCCACCGAGGGAATATGCCTGGCACGTATATGTTGGAAGATCTGCCTGAAAGCTTCATTAGCAAAAGCTCGATCCAATCTGGCTTTGACATTCGATTCTCCAACTTGATGATTGTCCCATGTATAAGCCGTACCGGACCAGCCGAAATCTTGGAAAGAGATCTCATCTATGACCTCCCTGAACGCACACATCTGATTTTTAGACCTCGCTGATCTACTAAAGTGTTTAGAGGAGTACAGAGTTTCATTATAATCCCCCATGCTCAACCAAGCTGCATGTGGTAACGAATGAAGTGTACGCACGAACCGCCACCAATGGTGCCTATCTTCTGCTCGCGGAGC